GAATGAAAGAAATATTCAACCACTTCTCCCTACCTTTATTGCTGCCCTGTTGGTTTGAACCCCCAGTACCTGGCCCTTGGATCACTATACCACTCACCTGAGAACTGGTCTCTGTTCGTTTTCTTCTTTCTTCTTCTGATCTGCCCGCCTTGGCCTCCAAAGTGCTTGGATTACAGGCATGAGCCACCATGCCCGGCCGCTTCATTTTTTTTTTTGAGATGGAATCTCGCTCTATTGCCCAAGCTGGAGTGCAATAACATGATCTCAGCTCACTGCAACCTCTACCTCCTGGGATCAAGCGATTCTCCCGCTTCAACCTCCTGAGTAGCTGAGATTACAGTAATCTGTCACCATGCCCAGCTAATTTTTTTGTATTTTTAGTAGAGACGGGATTTTTCCATGTTGGTCAGGCTGGTCTTGAACTCATGACCTCAGGAGATCCACCTGGCTCACCCTCCCAAAGTGCTGGGACTACAGTTGTAAGCCACCATGCCCGGCAGGTGTCTGTGCTTCTACCTATGTTCTCTGTCTTAATCTGTTTAGGCTACTGTAACAAAATACTGTAGGCTGGCCACAGTAGAGTTTTTAAAATTAGTATGTTTTTAAAGATTACACTTGTAATCCCAGCACTTTGGGAGGCTGATGTAGGAGGATCACTTGGGGCCAAGAGTTTGAGACCAGCCTGGGCAACATAGGGAGGCCCTGTCTCTACAAAAAATAAAAAAATGACCTGGGTGTTGTGATGCGTGCCTGTAGTGTCAGCTCTACTCAGGAGGCTGAGGTGGGAGGATTGCTTGGACCCAGGAGGTTGGGACTGTGGTGAGCCAGTGGCCATGCCATTACACTCCAGCCTAGATGACAGAATAAACCCCTATCTCAAACAAAGAAATATGTAAATGAAAGGAAGTTGGTGTTCCTACCACAGGTGTGTCCAGTGAGGAGAGGGAGTGTGATGTGCAGACGAGAGGGGATAACGCTGGACCAAAGGCCTTCAGAAGGTGAGAGGGAAAGGAATCCAGAGTCCAGATGAAGGAGTTGATCTCTGACAGCAGCAGAAATAACAGCATATCCTGTCAGTTGTAAGTGGTTTTGTAGATCTAAGAGGATCAGGAAGCTTGCTGGCTCTAGTTTTATAGATTATCAGGAAGATTATCAGAAAAACATATCTCGACCCAGTGGGCTCTCTATGTTCTGGCACTTGAATAAAAGCTATCCTAAAATATTACAAATTCCAGAATTTACCTTCACAAACACCTTTTCTTTTTTTTTTTTTTTGAGTTGGAGTTTTGCTGTTGTTACCCAGGCTGGAGTGCAATGGCACGATCTCGGCTCACTGCAACCTCTGCCTCCTGGGTTCAAGCAATTCTCCTGCCTCAGCCTCCCAAGTAGCTGGGACTACAGGTGCGCACCACCATGCCCAGCTACTTTTTGTATTTTTAGTAGAGACGGGGTTTCACCTTGTTGACCAGGATGGTCTCGATTTCTTGACCTCGTGATCCACCCGCCTCAGCCTCCCAAAGTGCTGGGATTATAGGCGTGAGCCACCGCGCCCGGCTTTTTTTTTTTTTTTAAAGACAGGGTTTCACCATGTTGGTCAGGCTGGTTTTGAACTCCCGACCTCAGGTGATCCACCCGCCTTGGCCTCCAAAGTGCTTGGATTACAGGCGTGAGCCATCGTGCCTGGCCCACAAACACCTTTTCTTTAACTAGAAGGCTTGTTTTCGGATATGGAATCTTGCACTCAGGCTGGACTGCAGTGGCACCATCTAGGCTCACTGCAATCTCTGCCTCCCGAGTTCATGTGATTCTCCTGCCTCAGCCTCCTGAGTAGCTGGGATTACAGGAGTGTGCTACCATGTCCAGCTAATTTTTGTATTTTTAGTGGAGATGGGGTTTCACTGTATTGGCCAGGTTGGTCTCGAATTCCTGTCCTCAGGTGATCCACCCACTGAGGCATACCTTTTATTTCAGTCTCATGTTTCAGTTTGTTCTATCGTCTCCTCCTTTATTTGTTACCAGTTAAAAAAACATTTCTTTTTTCTTTCTTTCTTTCTTTTTTTTTTTTGCTAGTTTCCACGTAATTCTAATGACTAACTAAGGTCTTGATGCTTGGTAGTTCCCAAGGGAGGCAGACAGAGTATTGTGCAAAGGAGGTAACGTAATGCTTAAATGAAAGAAACTGAACCAAACAGTAAAAACATGGGCTACATATTACAGACAACTGTGAGACCCTGTTATTTAGGATATTATGGAAAAGATTCTCCTAAGGAAAGTGGTGGAAACTCATCACTTAGACAAGTTAGAACACAACTATAAAGGTACTAAAAATTGTATTAGAGAGATTCGTTCTGTAAAAGACCCTGGGGGCTGAGTGCAGTGGCTCATGCCTGTAGTACTAACACTTTGGGAGGCTGAAGCAGAAGGATCACTTGAACCCAGAAGTTTGAGACCAGCCTGGGTAACATAGTGAGAGACCCCATCTCTACAAAAATTAACAAATTAGCCTGGTATGGTGGCATGTGACTATGATCCCAGCTACTTGGGAGGCTGAGGTGAGAGATTTGTTTGAGCCCAGAGGTGAGACATGTTTGCACCATTGCACTCAAGGCTGGGCAACAGAGCAAGATCCTGTCTCAAAACAAACAAACAAACACCCTGAGAAGTACATTATATGGCTAGAGACTTCTTTTCTAATTTTTCTATTTTTTTTTGAGATGGAGTCTTGCTCTATTGTCCAGGCTGGAGTGCAGTGGTGCAATTTCGGCTCACTGCAACCTCTGCCTCCCAGGTTCTAGTGATTCTCCTGCCTCAGCCTCCTTAGTAGCTGGAACTACAGGCATGAGCTGCCACACCCAGCTCATTTTTTTTTTTTTTAAATGAGACAGAGTTTCACTCTTGTCACCCAGGTTGGAGTGCAGTGGCGCGACCTCAGCTCACTGCAACCTCCATTTCCTAGGTTCAAGTGATTTTCCTGCCTCAGCCTCCTGAGTAGCTGGGATGACAGGTGCCCACCACCATGCCCAGCTAATTTTTGTATTTTTAGTAAAGACAGGGTTTTACCATTTGGCCAGGCTGGTCTCGAACTCCTGGCTGGGTGTGGTGGCTCACATCTGTAATCCTAGCACTTTGGGAGGCCGAGGTGGGTAGATCACCAGAGGTCAGTTCAAGACCAGCCTGGCCAACATAGTGAAACCCCATCTTAAAAAAAAAAAAAAAAAAAAGCTGGGCATGGTGGATCACACCTGTAATCCCAGCACTTTGGGAGGCCAAGGTAGGTTGATCACCAGAGGTCAGGAGTTCAAGACCAGCCTGGCCAACATGGTGAAACCCCATCTTAAAAAAAAAAAAAGACTGTCTTAAAAAAAAAAGCTGGGCATGGTGGATCACACCTGTAATCCCAGCACTTTGGGAGGCCAAGGTGGGTTGATCACCAGAGGTCAGGAGTTCAAGACCAGCCTGGCCAACATGGTGAAACCCCATCTTAAAAAAAAAAAAGACTGTCTCAAAAAAAAAAAAAAAAAAAAAGCTGGGCATGGTGGATCACGCCTGTAATCCCAGCACTCTGGGAGGCCGTGGCGGGTAAATCACAAGGTCAAGAGATGGAGACCATCCTGGCCAACATGGTAAAACCTGTCTCTACTAAAAATATAAAAATTAGCTTGGCATGGTGGTACATACCTGTAGTCCCAGCTACTTGAGAGGCTGAAACAGGAGAATTGCTTGAACCTTTGAGGTGGAGGTTGCAGTGAGCTGAGATCATGCTACTGCACTCCAGAGTGGCGACAGAGCCAGGATCTGTCTCAAAAAAAAAAAAAAAAAAAGTGGGGCACAGTGGCTCAAGCCTGTAATCCCAGCACTTTGGGATGCCGAGGTGGGTGGATCACGAGATCAAGAGATCGAGACCATCCTGGTCAACATAGTGAAACCCTGTCTCTACTAAAAATACAAAAAATTAGCTGGGCATGGTGGCGTGTGCCTGTAATCCCAGCTACTCAGGAGGCTGAGGCAGGAGAACTGCCCGAACCCAGGAGGCAGAGGTTGCGGTGAGCTAAGATTGCGCCATCGCACTCCAGCCTGGGTAACAAGAGTGAAACTGTCTCAAAAAAAAAAAAAAAAGAAAAGAAAAGAAAAAAGAAAAACAGAATATGAATAGGTATTTGCCCAGGGAAGATAAACCCAAGCAGATGTTCAACATCATCAGCTCCTAGGAAAATGAAAAACAAAACCAAACCACAAAGAGATACCGTTACATAACTACTAGCGTGGCTACAGTAAAAAAAAGACAGACAATGACAATTATTGGTACAGATGTGGAGAAGTTAGAACCCTCAGACATTGCTGGTGGCAGTGCAGCTGCTTTGGAAAACAGTTTGGCAGTTTCTCAAAAAGTCAAACATGTAACCTAGCAATTCCCCTCCTAGGTATATGCCTAAAAGGAATTAAAAATAATAACACATGTCAAAACAAAAACTTGTACATGAATGTTTATAGCAGCATTACTCAAATTGTCAAAAGGTGGAAACAACTCAAGTCACTATGAATTGATAAACAAAATGTGCCACAGCAATACAGCGAAACATTTGGCATGAAAGAAATGAAGTACAGATATATGCCACAATATGGATGAACCTTGAAAACATATGCTAAGTGAAAGAAGCCAGATCCCAAAGGCCACATGGTGTATTGTGCCATTGATTCGAAATGTCCAGAATAGGCAACTTCACTGACACAGAAGGTCCTTATCCTGCAGGAGTATGGGGAGTGACTGTTAATGACTTTGAGGGTTTCTTCTTGGGATGATGAAAATGTACTGAAATTGTACAGTGAAGATGACTGAACTGTGAACATAATAAAACCATTGTACACCTTAATTGGCTGAATTGTATGGTATGTAAATTAGATGGCAATAATGAGGCTAAAAAAAAGAGGTAAACTTTTAACATCAGTGTCACCAGGGGTTCAGTTCTGGCTTATACAGAATTCCATTCCTGGAGAGCAGATAATATGCACAGGCAGCAGTGGTTTATTTTTACTCACAAATTCCTTACATATCTGGTAGTCAGGTTCCTATTTTAAGCATGTAGCAAAGACATTGTAACTCTGAATTCTGGAATGCAGTCTCTATGGTGTAGTGAGCCATCCAATCCACTTGTAGTCCTCCTCCGTGGCAAAATCTGAAATTTCATGGTACTGTTATTTTGACTGATCAACTTAGATTTATATTTTATTTTATTTTTATTTTTTGTATTTTTAGTAGAAATGGAGTTTTGCTATGTTGGCCAACCTGGTCTCGAACTCCTGACCTCAGGTGATCTACCCGCCTCAGCTTCCCAGTGCTGCGGTGACAGGCGTGAGCCACCGCACCAGGCTTTTTTTTTTTAAGACAGGGTTTCACCTTGTTGGTCAGGCTGGTCTTGAACTCCCGACCTCAGGTGATCCGCCCGCCCTGGCCTCCAAAGTGCTTGGATTACAGGCGTGAGCCACCACGCCCGGCCTCAGGCCATTTTAATTAATTAATTAATTACTTTTTTTGAGGCTGAGGCAGGAGAATCGCTTGAACCCAGGAGGCAGAGGTTGCAGTGAGACAAGATTGTGCCACTAAACTCCAGCCTGGGTGACAGAGCAAGACTCTGTCTCAAAAACAAAACAAAACAAAAGCCGGGCATGGTGGCTCACGCCTGTAATCCTACCACTTTGGGAGGCCGAGGCATGATTTTGGCTCACTACAACCTCCGCTTCCCGGGCTCAACCCATTCTCCTGCCTCAGCCTTCCGAGTAGCCGGGATTACAGGTGCGCGCCACCATGCTCGGCTAATTTTTTGTACTTTTAGTAGAGACAGGGTTCACTATGCTGGCCCGGCTCGCTTGGAACCCCTGATCTCGTGATCCCCTCGCCTCGGCCTCCCAAAGTGCTGGGATTACAGGCGTGAGCCACCCGCGGCCGGCCAGATTTATATTTTAGAAAATATTTGTATTCTTGTGCACCTGAGGATGGTTTTCCCCCACTGACTCCAAACGTTTTCCTTGCATTTGTTGTGTAGAATTCAAAGTTATTTGGGTCTCTCATACATTTATACTTTCTAATGTTGCCAATACTTTTTGAACGTACTTAAAAAAAAAACCCCAAGAAGTATTTCCCTAAAAGGCCAAGGTAAAACAAAATGAATGGGAGTTCTTGTGTTCGAGTTTTCTTCCAACTGGGCTTTCCTGCAGGAGGTGGAAGAGTGTGTAGCAGATGCTTCAGAAAATGAGCGCTCAATACGGTAGATCACGCTTCTGGGGACAAAGAGAGGTTTTCCGTTTTCTTTTCCCTTGCTTAGGCGGCGGGCGCGCAGAGTCCAGAGGGAGCGATGGGGGTGTTTCTGGGCTCCCAGGTCACAGAAAAGCAGGCGACTGGGAACAACGGAGGCGGTGCAGGCCACCGGGCTGCGGGCCAGCGCCACCTTCAGACGGATCTTTCCTGGAGCGCGTTCGGCTGCAGTCCCTCCCGTGACCGGCCTACCTGTCCCGGGCCCGCCGCTCCCACCGCCCCTGCATGGTAGCCCTGGCAACGCCCCGCCCTGCCGCCCGCCCTCCCCTTGCCCCTCCCCCCGCTCGGCGCGGCTGCGCGGGAGGGGTGGGACGGGGGCGGGGAGAAGACGCAAGGTAGAGGGACTCGGCGGCGCGACGCACGCGGTCTATTGGCTGCCACGTCCCGGCGCCAGAAGCCCCACCTCTCTGACGGTGGCCACGTGATCCCTTTCAAAGATGGCCGCCCTGTTGTTTTGATGAATAATACTTGGTGGGGCGAGGGGGAAAGAGTAGGGGTGGAGGGGTAGGAGGATTTACTCTTCCAGCGAGAGCTAAGCGCGTCCCATCCTCCCCCTCCCCCCTACCCGGACTCCGGCGTGGAGGCGGGGCGTGGCCGGCCTGCTTTGGGAGGGGAGGGGCTTCCCTTCCAGTGCTGGGCTCTGCCAGGACGGCTGTGGGGTCGCCTTACCTCGGGGTATCCACTCTGCAGTCGACTAGTTCCCGCCCGGGGCAAAGGGTAGGAAGGAGAGAAGGATCTGCTGTAGGAAACGCAGCTACCGCGCCACCATCACGAAGACACAGCAGACTCGGGGCACGAGACGAGCTGGAGACCGCGCTCCCTAGTCTGGGTAACCTGGGAAGCAGAGGGTAATAAGTGGCGCCTTAAGATAACCCTGTAGCAGCAGCAGTGGCGGCCAAAGGAGGCTGCTCAGGGAATAAGCGGCTGTAGTAGTCTCTGGGGCGATTGGAGTGACTGAAGCCCAGGCAGTTCAGTGCCTCTCGTGTTCTTATTTTTTAACCTCTGACTATGCAATTCTGAAACCTCCCCCATTCGGGGGACCAGACATCCTGATAGACACCTTCCACTCTCCTTCCTCCCGCCGTGGTCTCGAGAACAGAAGGATCTCTCCCTAACGCCTTTCACCATTAAGAGGAAAGCGATGGAGGAGCTGAGCGCTGATGAGGTGAGGAGATTGGGGGACACCTTGAGGGATTAGTTGGCAACTCTTTAGCGCTTTGGACAAGGATGATATTGCGCCAGTGCTGCCTGGCCTTTGGGCTTGGGGAAGGAACGGAGATGATATTTCCAAGAATAACATGACTTCCCGATAGGGTCTCTGGTTTTATTCTCCTTTATTCTTTTGCCTTCCTTCTTCATTCTGAACTCCATTAGCTGCTTTCCGAGTGTTCTCTTAGGGTCTGAAAAAGAGAGAGCATGTTGAGGTGTTTATTTTCTTCAGGGTGTGCAAGCAAGAAGGGCTAGATTTACATCAAGCTAAAGTGTGTGTGTCTGTGTCTTAGGAATTTAAAGAACAATTTTGGATGGAATGAGAATATATGGTAGATGAATATTTTTAAAGGATGCTTTGAAATTCCAAATATGTGTGGTTATTTCACTGTATACGTTGATTAAACATATCTTTTTGCTTGAGTGGCGGTTTACAGACAGGTTCTTTGATATTTAACAAAATATGTATCTTCTTAACAGTTTAGAGAATTCCAGTTATGTTCTAGTGACTTACTAGACCACTAACGACTTCTGGCATTCTTCTCTTACATTCTGTTTTTCCTACTTCTATCTTTCAAACTTGTGTTTTGCTGTAGCAGAGACTGAACAGGAAGCAAGTGGAAGCAAATGGCTCTGTAAACTCTCCTGTTCTCATATCTTAAAGGAGTTACACAGATCTACTTATTGATGTTTTAATCATTCTTTAATAAACTAGGTTGTTGTAAAAAAAAATAGTGGCAATTAGGGTACAAGGAATTTCCTATGGTTCTACTGCCTTTTCCCTGCCTTTTTACAAATTGGGAGCTTCCCTTTCGGGACCCTTGCTGGCTATGCCCTCTTCAGCCTACCTTCACATTTCTTCCACTGGTTCATCATATAAACTTCCCTTCTTACAGTATTAGGAAAGCAGTCATCTATCAGGTTGATTGTGCTATAAGACTTCCATGCTCCAGTTTTAGCTTCAGAGTACTTAGTGTGTTTACTTAGGGACTGAAATTCTTCAGGGATAGGACATGCAGTGCTGTGTTAAGGATCAGGTAGAAAAGGAAACAGATGATTTTGTTGCTTGTGATACTTGAATACTTGGTTTGGAAAATCAAGATGAACCATTCTGCGTTACTGACTTGGTTTTTTTCAAATACATCAGAAATATAATCTTAAAAGAATATTGAACAGTTTCTTTCAATAGGAAATATCAAGAGATCTCCTTAGAATCACTTTGTTTTATGTAGTTTTTAAAAGTTTCTCTACCCTCCCCCATTTTTCATTAATGTGAATTCTAGTGAGTAACTTCTCTTAAGGCAGATACTGTTTCTTAGTAGTCCGTTACTCCCAGAAATTACTTTTTTGTGTGTGTGATGATCTGTTAATAGTTCTTGGTTTAGAGACTTTTGCATACTTGTTTTCAAACCAGTGAGGCCTTATAGACCAGTGGAGATACTATATAATCTAAAAATGTGTCTTTTCACTTTACCCATCTTTGAGGAAGGTATAACTTTTTGTGATCATATAAGGAACACACGTAACCTTTGTGGAAGAAATAGAAGAAACTTTTCAAGGTCAACAGATAATTAAAGTAAATGAGAAGAATTAAATTCACTCATACAGGATCAGTGTAAAATTATCTTCAGCAAATTATTTGTCCTCAACACAAAGGGCTGGTTCAGTAACTGTTAATTTTACTCAGCAGAACCGACAACAAATAATATTTGTTTTTAATTTAAAAATTTTTAATTTTTTTTTTTTTGAGACGGAGTTTCACTCTTGTTACCCAGGCTGGAGTGCAATGGTGTGATCTCAGCTCACCGCAACCTCTCCCTCCTGGGTTTGGGCCATTCTTCTGCCTCAGCCTCCCAAGTAGCTGGGATTACAGGCGTGCGCCACCGTGCCCAGCTAATTTTTTTGTATTTTTGGTGGAGACGGGGTTTCACCTCGTTGACCAGGATGGTCTTGATCTCTTTTTCTTGACCTTTATGATCCACCTGCCTTGGCCTCCCAAAGTGCTGGGATCACAGGCGTGAGCCACTGCGCCTGGCCCAGAAAATTTTTAATTTTTTTGTAGAGACAGGGGTCTTGCCATGTTGCCCAGGATGGTCTCAAACTCCTGACCTCAAGGGATCCTCCCACTTCAGCCTCCCAAAGAGGGAGCCAAACAGTGTTTTTGGAAAAATATCTTTGAAGTTCTTAAAATTCAGTTAAAAATTTTTGACATTAGTTAAGCAATTCTCAAGAGACATTTCGAAAGCTTTTGCCTTTGTATTGTCACTCTGTAGTTGGAAACTTGTGTCAGATATGGTAGGTGACATTGATTTGGTTACAAAATAATATATTATTGAAACTTCAAGCTTGTATTTCAGGGTTAAAACAGGCAAGACAGTGATCTTTTAATCTAATTTAGGAAATTAGGTAAGGCAGAGTTTCATATTTTAACAAAATGAAAATGTATAATTATTCAGTTGGTGAAAAACAAAGGCTGATATTACCAGACTGGTAGCTTTAGGAACTTTTACGTTATGTGCACTTTTTGGTCCCTTTCATAGATCACCTAGAATTCGTGTGCTTTTAAGTAGAGTACTTTAACTTCATGGCTGTTTGTTATTTATATAGTGTATTACAGTGAGTTCATTGCTCTGTAGTTCACTGCCTATAGCTCATTGCAGAACCATGACTAAGTTCATTCTCTTCAGGAACCTCTTCAGTCGAGATTTCGCCACTGCACTCCAGCCTGGGAGGCATTCCAAACCATCATTATTTACGTTATATTAATTCTATAACCTACTCATGTGTTGTTTTTCATGTCTCAAGATGGTTCTGTGAGTAGGTAGTGTGTTTGTTTGTTTTTGAGACAGGATATGGCTCTGTTGCCCAGCCTAGAGCGCAGTTGCACGATCTTGGCTCATTGCAACCTCTGCCTCCTGGGCTCAAGTCATCTTCCCACCTCAGCCTCCCAAGCTAGGACTCCAGGCTCATGCCACCATACTCGGCTAATTTTTGTATTTTTTTCTGGAGACAGGGTTTCACCATGTTGCCCAGGCTGGTCTCAAACTCCTGGGCTCAAGTGATCTGCTTGCCTCAGCCTCCCAGAGTGCTGGGATTGCAGGGGTGAGCCACTGGGCCCAGCTGAGTAGGTGTTTTAAACTGTTTTTTAACAGTGGTAATGAGATTGCATTGAAGTGATTTTTCCCTCCTTTCTTCTTCTTCTTTTTTTTTTTTTTTGAGATGGACTTTCGCTCTTGCACTCAGATTGGAGTGCAATGGCGCGATCTTGGCTCACCAGCCTCCGCCTCCCGGGTTCAAGTGATTCTCCTGCCTCAGCCTCCCCAGTAGCTGGGATTACAGGCATGCGCCACCACGCCTAGCTAATTTTGTATTTTTAGTAGAGTTGGGGTTTCTCCATGTTGGTGAGGCTGGTCTCGAACTCCTGAACCAAGGTGATCAGCTTGCCTCAGCCTCCCAAAGTTATGGGATTACAGGTGTGAGCCACGGTGCTCGGCCCTCCTCCAAAGTCTTCTTTATGACCAGTTCATCTGAAAGATGGTTGGCTGGGATTCAGGGTGTGGTCACGATTTTAGAAAGTGTAAGTATTCTTTCCCAAAGGCAGAATATGTGACCCTGTACTTTTTAGCAGTGTTCCGTAAATGGAAGAAAATTGACATTTAAGGACAGCCTTAGAAGCCTGTTCTGTGCCAGGCACTCTATACCTCTGTCTCATTAGATAAAACATTATAATCAAGCAGGTACTATTTTCCTAATTTTATTTTGTATTTATTTTTCTTTTTTTTCCAAAGAATATACCAAGTAATATTTTCCTAATTTTAGAAGCCAGGAAACTGAGATTTAGGTTAAGTAACTTGTCCATAGTGACCTGACTTAGAAGTGACGGGTTTGGAATTCAAACCCAGTGCTCTTGACTCAAAAGCCCTTTTTGACACATTTTATTGCTCAAAACTGACAAATTCACCACAGTTTCTATGTAAATATTCTACATAACATTGACCCACTCTGCTTTGATAGACATAGTTTTTCTGTAGAAGTGATGTTTTGCATGAATCCATTCATGATGTGATCAGGGCTTTTTGGTACTGGTCCTCCTACCCCCAAATTTTTTGGGATGCCGAGGCAGGCGGATTACCTGAGTTCAGTAGTCTGAGACCAGCGTAGCCAAAATGGTGAAACCCAGTCTCTATGAAAATACAAAAGATAGCCAGGTGTGGTGGTGGGCACCACCACATGTAGTCCTAGCCATAAGGGAGGCTGAGGCATGACAATCACTTGAACCCAAGTGTTGGAGGTTGCAGTGAGCTGAGATTGCACCACTGCACACTATAGCCTGGGCAACAGAGCGAGATTCTATCTCCAAATAAAAAAAAAAAAGGAAATCCAGAAAAATGGCCGGCACAGTGGCTTAAGTCTGTAATCCCAACACTTTGCAGGGCCAAGGTGGGCAGATAGCCTGAGGTCAGGAGTTTGAGGCCAGCCTGCCCAACATGGCGAAACCTCGTCTCTACTAAAAATAAAAAAATTAACTGGGTGTGGTGGTGCACACCTGTAATCACAGCTCCTCAGGAGGCTGAGGTAAGAGAATCACTGGAACTCAGGAGGCGGAGGTGATCCTAGGCTCAGGTGATCCACCTTCCCCCAGCTTCCCAGAGTGCTGAGATTGCAGGTTTGGTTTTGGACCACCAAAAAGATGAGTCCACATGGAGATTGTGCCAGTGCACTCCAGCCTGGGAGACAGAATGAGATGTCATCTCATAAAAAAAAAAAAAAAAAGAAAGAAATTATAATTAAATTGGATTAGAGGAGAAAGGAATCCAACAATTTTTTTTTTTTTTTGGGAATCCAACAATTATAAAATAGTGCCAGTTACTACTGTGGAGGTATGTGCAACTCACTGAAGAAATGTGGATAGGGGGCCAGGCACAGTGGCTCACACCTGTAATTCCAGCACTTTGG